TTCTTAATCAGTCTTTGGATAAGGAAACTAAAGACAATGTTGGTTTTTTGGCTGTGTAGCTTTATGAAAAGGGATTCGTAGGTCAATTTGTTGTACTTCTTAGACAAAAGCCTACATTTCCCCACAGTCTCAATTGATGAGCGTGTTAGCACTTTATAGATGGCATCTCGGCACAGGTCACTAGCTGAGTCCATTTAAAGCAAAGAATCTTATTACCACAAGCTGTGTCTCTAGATCGGAGGCTTAAGCAAATCTTCTTTGCCATTATGGATGTAGGCAACTCTTAACTTTGAAGAGGAGAATAGAATGGGGACCTTTATTTCAAACTGCATATATGTATGATTAAACGTATAAGGATGTTTTATATGATGAGTATGCCCTTCAAGGGTTAACACGGGATCGTAACTCTTGTATGATGAGATAAGAATTTTGATTCTCATTCACACTATTTTATAGGGAAATTTTCTTAGTAACGACCATTGTGTCAACCACAAATCTTGAGTTCAAGATTTTTCAAAAAGAACCTATTTTGATGCAAAATCAAGGTAGCACATACAATTTAAGGGCATGTTCTCTTCATTATATGAGATAAATGGCAGGTTGACTATCTAGTCTCCAAAAGGTTCTCATATATGCCCAGTGACAGTCTTCGTAAAGACAGTATGAGGGCGTTATGAGAATAGTTAAGGCACGTATGCCCATCATTACCAAACAGGTGCTCAGATATGAGTTGGGTGTTTCACGCATCTGAATTCTAATTAATTATCATAGGGCAAATCATTATCCCCTACATAACTTAAAAGTTTGTGTGTGCTTTTAAGAAATTTAAGACATGTGATGCATGATGCAATTTTATACAATACATAAACAAATATGTATAGAAATTAAAGTGCATATAAAATAAATAAAGTAAATCCATATTACCAATAAACATATAAAACCAAAAACAAAAATTAGACAAAACAATGTTTGGTCCACAAAGTCCCTAGTGGAGTCGTCATTCTGCTGCACGTGTGCAGAGTCGCGACGGTCGTCCACCCTCAAAATGTTATGTGTCTATCTAGAAAATATGGAGAGTCAATCAATTCTTGTCTCTTATTAGTAGAAAGATGGAATGGGAGTCGCCACATAGTATTTTCATTACTAAGAACCCTAACTGGTCTGAGAGATCGGGTACCAGGACTAATTGCGTAAAGATAAGGTATTAGCACCTCAAGTATACCCTATCTAAGATAAGCTGCATTGTTTTATTGTCTAATATATGCTACGGTTTTATTGTATTTCTAATTATTGGTTTGTCTATGGTTTCAGAAAAGCCCTTCTTGGTAAAGAGATTCTTATCTTATCGAGTAAAACTTAACCATTCTAACATCAACAAAAGAACTACCTTTGGAATATCAAGAATATGTTTTACATGTAAATTCATAATTCCAGATACTAAAACAAGCAAAATATTTTTTTGGTTTTTTTTTAATATTAGCCTAGTTTTTATGATTTTAATAAACTAGTTATTAAAGTTAAAATGCATGCTAAAATATATTTTTGAATTCTTTTTGTTTTTGTATGAAAATACAACATAATTTTTTTTTCCTTTGAGAGACTTGGTTGTATGCATGAAATAAAAATATTTTTTTTTACTAAAACCGAGAATTTTTATACCGGATTTGTATCTTTAAAGCATAGAAATATAAACCAATATTAAGAACAATTTAGTAGAAAAAATATGCAGAAAATCACAGTTTTTTCAAAAAAAAATAGAATTAGGTTGAACCCGACCTTACCATTTTTAAGCTTGGCCGGCCTATTAAACATTGGATCTCTCCACTATTCACAAGCAACGTGAATAGTGGAGCACCTAACAAAGAAGGAGGAGAAGGAGGGGAAAGCTGACCTATAACTACTCACGGTGTTGCTTGTGGTGGTGGTGATGGCTAGGAATCCTAGTGGTGGCTACTATGAGCTTCATTTTCATTCGTGCAAAGACATCAGTCCCTGCATCTTCTCTTTCTCTCTTTTTTTCTATCTTCCCTCTCTTGGTTCTCTCCTCTCTATCTCTATTCTTCTCTTCTCTTCTTTCTCTCTATTCCTCTACTTTTTTTCCTATTTTTCTTCCCTGTGTTTTTTCTCGTTTTCTTCTCTTCTTTTCTCCCCTGTTTTTTCTTTTTCTCTCTTCTCTTTCTTTTTTTTTCACTATTCTCCTTTGCTGCCTTTACCTTTCTACTCTCTCTTCTTCTATATTTATAGGCAAATACATGGGTAGAGAAGCCTATTATCCTTGTCCAGTTATGGCATAGTGGTAGGGGAGCTGAGGCAGGTAGAGAAGCCTATTATCCTTGTCCAGTTATGGCATAGTGGTAGGGTAGCTGAGGCAGCCATTGTGCAATTGCCCTAGGAGAGCCGAGGAGCACTGTTTTCACCCTGTGGTAGGCCATGGGTTAGAGTTTAGGCAAGTGGGGGGGCTTGGTCAGTGTCTTTTTAGGGCTTTCAAAGAAAGAGTGAGGAGAGAAAAGCAAGGGAACGAAAGCTTCTTCTTCCCCAGCTTTGTGCATCCAAGGAAAGAAAAAGATCCATAGTGTCGTTCAAAATAGCACCGTCTAGGGATTTTCTTTCTTCTTTTTTGAAATAGTGGAAGAAATGGTGTCATTTTAAACAAAACATGTCATTTCATTTAAAAGGAAATGGCAGCAAAATCATGTCAAAGTCCAAACCATTCTTCAATTTGTAATTTGTTCAATCAAGACCTAAACTGCAATTTTGATTTTAAAAATCTATTCAATTGCATCCCCGCTAAATTCAATCATCAATCCCGAAGTTAGCTGCCTTTTTCACTTTAGTCCTTGGTCTCTGATTTATGCAATTTGACCCTCAATTGATCAATAAACTTTCAATTTCTTCAATTTAGCCTATGATTCAGTTAATTACAGCCCCTCTATTTACGTGTATTTTCTAGTTTGGTCCTTGGTTTTAGATTTATTCAATTATGTTCCTAATTGGCCATCAAACTTTAATATTTATGCAATTAAGCTCCTAATTTGACCATATCAACTCTTAAAAATTATAATTTGACCCTAGAGACTTTAATTTCTCTCAATTAAAGCCCAAATTGACTAAAAAATCAATTTTTCTTATAATCATACCCTCCATAAATTTAATTAAACATTTAAAAAATTTAATTGAGTCCATGAATATTTGATTTTAGACTTTTCTTCCTCAAATTGAATTTTCATTGTTAACAGGGCTCTCATTAGTTAACAAAATACTGTCAAATTTTAATCTTTATATTTTTTAATCTTCTTAACCAAATTCTAGCCATTTTCAGGGCGCTCCGACATCCTTTTCTTATTGCCTATTTTTTTGGGATTTCTTCTTCTTAACCAAATTCTAGCCATTTTTAGGGCGCTTCAACATCCTCTTCTTATTGCCTATTTTTTTGGGATTTCTTACAACTATATTTTTTATTTTTTTATTTTTTTTATGCGGGGACCCAAAAAGGGTTATAAAAATTATTATAAAAATAATAATATTTATATGATAATATTTTTAATATTATTATTATTATTATTAAACTTGCATATCTCAAGTTTGATTGTGTCTGGCTGCAACACCACGCCCAAGAGTTTTAGGTCCCTCTTAAATGTCGAATTCAAAAGCCTTAGGTCTTACTACAACATCGAACCCATTAGACTTCAGTCAGGATGTCGAATCCAAGAGCCTTGGATTCTAATATAGGATCAATTGACCCAAGTGTCTTGGGTTAGGTAGGGTTACAAGACCCAAAGAACTTAGGTTTGCGTCTCTATCACTCCCAAACAACTTGGTTCAAGCTCCCCTTTCCAGCCCCAAGTTTCTTGGGTCTGGAAAGGATGACCCAAGTTAATAATAATAATAATAATAATAATAATAAATTGATTTTACCTTTCAAATCAAATCTATGTTTTTTTAATTGTAATAAAATTTATTTCAAATTTAATAATATTAATAAATTTAATAATATTTATAATATTAATAATAATATTAAACTTCTCTAGCCCAACTTTTTATAGTTTTTAATATCTTCAAATAAAATTTATGATTTTTCTTTGATAGTAGTAATAATTTATTTCAAATTTAATAACAACAACAATAATAAATTTTAATTTTATCCTTCAAATCAAATCTATAATTATTTTTCAATATTAATAATATTTTATTCAAATTTATTAATTATTATATTAATAATATTAACTATAATAAAGATAATAATAATATTTATTATACAAATAATAATATGAAACTTGTCTGGCTCAAGTTTTTATAGTTTTTAATCTTTTCAAATAAAATTTATAATTTTTCTTTTATAATAATAATTTTTTATTTTTCTTTTATAGTAAAAATTAAAAAATTATTAATGATAAAAATAACAATAATAATAATAGTTTTTTTAAATAAAATTATTATTTTTTTCTACAGGGGTTTGCAGGCCCATGCGTGGATCTGCAAACCCAAACATTCTACAGGGGTTTGCAGACCCATGCGTGGATCTGCAAACCCAAACATGCAGATTTGCAACCCTTAGGGCAGTCTACAACCCGCAAGCCTGGATCAGCGAACCCAAGCATGCAAGTTTGACCCTAGCAGCTAGGCAATCATATCATGCTCAAGCAACAGGACCCACAACCTCACTATATCATAGCAAAATCTAAACTAGCCATTTTATCCGAGTGTATTTTTTATATCAAATGCATCTCATAGAAAAAACAACTATATTTTGGATATCAAATGCATCCCACTGCATGCTTTGCTGCTATTATACCGATACATAATAACTTGTGTCTAAACAAACAACACCAATATTATATATTTTAAAGACAAATCTCTCCGCATGATATTTGAGGTGAAACACGCCCATGCACCCAATGAGAAGTGTCATATGAAATGATTCAGAATATGGTTCACGGTTCTTCTGGTTCACAGTTCTTTACGCCTAACCATCCATCGCTAACTAGGAAACAACACATTAATTAAATTGAAAATCCGACTTCTCAACCGCATAATAAAAATAACAACTTTGAAGGCATCGGCAAAGATTTCGAGACGGTTTGACAGAAATTTATCATCTATGAGATTAAAATTTAACGAGGAAACTACATGCAATGCCAAAATGCCTTATCTACACAGTAGATCTACTGCAATTACACAGGGAAACGGCACCCAGAACCAAGCAGGACGCTTCCTCTGACTCCTCATGTTCTCGATCTTCGAATTGGAGAAGGACTGACAACAAACATAAGAAACAACAGACATTCAAAAATGAGTGGTTCCTCTGGAAGAAGAGAAAATGAGGTCCAAGAACTTCAAAAAAAAAACAATTTGCGGTTTCCTTGGGAAAATTGAGGGGGGAAAACGATTATAAGAAATTCTCTCTTCATGCAGAAAGCACTACCTTCGGTATCTGCCATACTCAGGGCTTCTGTTCCTACCATAATCAGGACTTCGGCGCCTGTCATGTACTGGACCATTATACTTATCATAAACAGGGCTGCGAGCTCGAACATAATCAGGACTTGGCCGTCTGCGATAAACTGGACTTGGTGATCTTCCATTATAACTTCCTCTTCTGGGACTATCATATCTGTCACCCCTCTCACTCTCATCCCTCAAAGCATACTCAACAGAAACCACCCTGTCCAATATCCTGCTGCAGAAATGCAAAACAATACGATATGTTAATCAGCTGATCTGAAAATTTAAATATAACCAAGTCATTCATACAAGAAAACTAATCAAAACAAGTTGACTAACGTCATGTGTGTGCACTCGAGAGCTTTGGTGGCGTCTTCTTGTGTCTCAAACTGCACAAATGCAAAGTTCCGTCGAATTCGGACATGCAGCACCTCTCCATAACGCTCAAAGTGTCTTTTTATGTCTTCAACCCTGGTATGAATTGGATCGAAATTAATAACAAACAAGGTTTTAGTTGGCCTCTGGTTTGCTGTCGACCTCGGCCCATCTCGGTGCCGACCACGTTCACCCTAGCATATTCATGATATAAGCATAGGATGAAATCAATCTCAACTACTTACAGCAATATACCAACTTGAGCAACTAAAGATGCAACACAGGATTTTAAAAAAAAAAAACCATGGAAAAAAAAGAAAGAAAGAAGAACCATATACCCGAGCCCACTCCACTGAAAGCCTTCGCCTGTCATAACCAAAAGGCATATTGTCAAGTCCACGTACAGCATCTGCAGCATCACGGTCATCCTCAAAATAAACAAAAGCAAACCCTGCAGCAACTCCTCAAATCAGAGACAGAATAAGAGATGTGTAACCTTCGAATTAAATTCACTTAACCAGGGTACATCAGCCAAATCAGGATTGCTTATCCTGGCAAGAATTTGAAATTTATACAACACCTGCAAGATACTTGATGGGCTGATGCACACAATGATGTAGATTGTGGAAGCGTTGCATGATGAACTAAATGAAGATGTTGGCATTTAAGAGTTTAAAATCCAAAAGTTTCAGGTCTGAGATGTCTTTGCTAAGCATGCTTCACCATTCAGACATCACTAGTTCAGAAATGGAAGGCATAGCATGACAGATTTCAATTCACCCTCCTACCAGCAGTAGTGGTGGACAAGGCATAGTAAATTGACTGAGATCATCACGACCATTCTTGTGAAATGTAAAGTTAGGGCGGTGAGGTGGGTGAGTGACAGATGATCGAGTGAAGAAAACACAGGATGATTCCATCTGTGAGTGGAAGGAGAAGGAGAGCAGACAAGCAAGAGAGTTTCCAAGCTACTACAAGTGTTGGCGAGCCCAGATAGAAGCTCAAATTTCCTTAGTAAGAGTTCCTGCGTCAAAACAAACACTTAATATGGAGATGTTCTCCAAATAAACTTCAAATTCCCCGTTTCCATTTTTTTCACTCCCGACTGTATTTTTAATTTGGATGTGATCGCCACTTCTCAAGTAGCTGCATATTTTATATCCAACAAACTCTTAATTTCAGAATATTTATGCATTCAAAAATCAACAAGATAACCCATCATGCACTTGATGACCAAATACCACCCAAAACCAAAACTAACAATCCCTTGGAGAAATCACAAAGACTTCGCTTGAAACCAATCGTTCATGACACAAGAAACCACAGTTTGAACTTCTATAAGAACCAAAACCATCCTACCGTATATCAATAGAGTTTCAAAACAGGAGTTATAATAATAATTGAAAATGAAATGCAAAACATACATCACTCAAAAAATATTTTTCATTCTATCCTAAACCACAGCTCATCATGAATAACACCAATAATCAAACTCAATCACAAGCCCTTGTGCATTTCATCGCCAGATAAAATTAACAAAAAGATAAGAAGACCCAGAACAGTTTACCAGATTTCATGTCAACTCGCTCCACCCTTCCGTACTTGCTGAACAAGCGTTCCAAGTCCGATTGCCTTGTCTCGTGCTCAAAGTTTCCTACGAAAACTGGCCGCGCCATCCCTGCAAACCAATTATCCTCGAAACTAAACACCAACACAAGTAAAGTCAAATAAGAACCCCATAGTAAAGTGCAGTTCACTTTTTCTTTTCGTAAACCATACCTGAAGAGCTCTGTGTTCGCGATGATAAGAGAGTAAAACCCTAGAGAAGAGACAAATATTTGAGGAAATAACAAAGTTTGGATGTGTGATCAGGGTTTACATAGCCGAATTGTGTAAACCCTTTGCTAGACTCCATTACTCTCTTTCACCGTTGGATGTTTTGTAACTTGCGTGGTACAATTTCAGCCGTTCAGATTATTAGATGGAAACCATGTTGCCCCTGTGGAAATAGATAAAGGACGGACAAAACCTGGTGGGGTTATTTAAAGGGAAATCGTTTTAAGCAGGGGTGCTAAAAAAACGTCTCAGAAATATTAATATTGTAATTGTGTTTTAAACCGTGATTCATCAAAATTTAAAAGAAATTATTTAAAATTATTTTTTATTTTTAAATCATTTTAAAAAATTATTATCACATTTTAAAAAACTTACTAAATAGTTATCATAAGTCATGAGTTGGATAGCAAGTTGAAATCTTGAAACCTAGGGACCCTGATTCAGCCTGTATGCTTTATATCAATAATTTTAATTTGTTGTTATGTTTTTTGTTTTTTATAATTAATTTTTTTATTTTAGTCAATTAGTTTAGTTGATGTATTAAGTTGAAATTATTTGTTATAATTTTATATCAAGTTTTAACTTAGTTTATTGATATTAAATATTAGATACAAGCTTAACCTCTTAAAATTAACAATATATATTTAATTATTTATAAAAAAAATGATTCCAAACAAATATACCTGTTAAAATAAAATAAATTATATATAATTATGTATTCAAATTCCATCATCAAACACAATGTGTTTGGTATTGGAGTAGTTATTGTGGTTGCAATTTGAAAAAAGTTATTTTATAAAAAGTACTTTTAATTCAAATTGAATTGAAAAATAGATGTTTGGTTAAAATAGATTTCATAATTTTTTAAGCATGTAATAAATTTAGATAAAATATTATTAGGAATAAAATTAATTTGATATTATAATGTGAATGAATTTAATTCACTCTACACTAATTTTTTTAAAAAATATATTATTTATATGATAATACGAGTTAATTCACTCTAAACAAATTTTAAAAAAATACAAAAAATAAACATATTAAAAAAAAGAGTGAACAGTGCAATTCACTTGCACTGTTCACTAAATACGGTTTGAAGACTGTTCACTGAAACACGAAGGAAACTTTACTGGTTACCACGCAGATACAGGCAAAGCCGCTTGGAGCTGCTTTCAACGAAATACAGTCGCATACGCAAATTTTAGTAGATCCCATTAACAGTAAATAATACTTTACCATTTACCAAACAACTTAGATCTGCGGTGGCACTAAAACGTGGAAGCTACCACGAAGCCAAACACTCTGAGTACATAAATCTCAGTGGAGTTAGCGCTTTCTTGAAGATTATCTTGTGAGCGTCAGACTCCCTGTCCCATATTTAATTTGCTTTTTTAGCTGTGAAAGTATAATTATAATTGTTTTTTAAAGTATTTTTTATTTAAAAATATATTAAAATAATATTTTTTATTTTTAAAAAATTATTTTTAAATTTAGTGTATTAAAATTATTTGAAAATACTAAAAAATATTAATTTAAATTAAAAAATTTATTTATTTCAAAAAAAAATTAAAACTTAAAAACAAATAGCGAAATGAACTCTTTTAAAACTTAAAAACAAATAGCGAAATGATGTGATGGGTAATTATAAAAATCTATTTTTATTTAGTTATAATAAAAAATATAATTATTAAAATTTTAAAGAAAATATATTTTATTAATCAAAATTATCTTCTATAATGGTTGTTAAAATAAATATTTGTAAATATTCCAATTCTCTCTTTAATCAAAAACTTTATTTTCTTATATATATTGGATAAAAACATTTATTTATTATTAAAATCATTATTGTTTAATTAAAAAAACCATTATAATGTGAAATGAAATTTCAATAAAAAAAATCACCGTTTCATTGCGCTTGTATGAATAAATTTGAGAATAACAAATATGAGAAAATGATCATATAAAAGAATTATGATAACAAAATACATATTCTATTATTTATTGCATATAATTGAGCAAATCTTAAAAAAAAATATCCATATTAGGTTAATATATAATTAATTATGAAGTAATTGTTAATATTACCATAAAAACTCTAATACTCTAGAAAACTATTGGATAATTTAATAATTTTTTAAATATCATTTTATTAAACAAATTTAAAGATAATTTTATTCTAATATTAAAAAAATGAAGGAAAAAAAAAAGCTAAGGCGTGTTTAAAAACAATTCCGTCATGCTTGGGCTTATAAGGACAAGTCGCCCCTAGCTAGAATAAACAGTGCTTCGGCTTTCTTTAAAATGGATGAACGACATGTTGTTTATTCTATATATATATGTGTGTGTGTGTGTGTGTATATAAACCTTTTTCTCTTTTTTCTTATGTTTCAGCAATTTTTTCTATTTTTTTTCAACATTTAGAGACTAAAAAGTGAAAAAAAAAAGATTAGACTAAAATATAAAAATCATAAACTTCAACAACTAACTAATGCAATGACCAAAATGAAGTTTTTCTCACCTTTTCAACATCAGACTTTTTATTTATTTAATTTAATTCTTATTCTTTTATTGTTCTCAACTACAATCTAAAAGTTTATTTCACGAAATTAATCTGCACTGAAATATTCCATCATCATTTGCACGCACAAGAGCATGCACAGCGAAAGCAAAAGAAATCTCTATATATAAAACCAAACTAAAATAAAAATAAATAAAGTTGATGAAAAAAAGTACTATAAAATGAACAACGTCCTCCGCCATGTAATGTAATTTGAGGGAGGGAACAATACAGAACATTGAATTATCATTATGTTTGTGTTGTTACTATAATTTTCGTCGATTCCGCTGGAGCGGTTTAGATTAACATATTTATCTGGCTTATTTTATACATCAGTTAATTTTATAAATTTTAAAATTTTTAATTATATAAATTTTTAATAATTCTAAAATTTATAAAATTTAAATTATTATTCTCTATAAAACAAATCTAGAATCTAGCTAAATTATATAAATTCAACTTAAATGACTTTATTTTTTTAATATTTTAAAGAGGTTGGGAAAATGAGTTTTTCTTGTGAATTGCGTTTATCTCAAGCTAATTTTGTTAAGAAAATAAAGTTTTATTTGGGTACTTCTAGTCTTAAATTTCAGGTTAAGAGATATTTGGAAACAAATATCAAACCTTTTTCATATATATTTTAATTTATTATTATTTTGGGGTTTAGCTAGCTAAATAGGTCCTTAAAATTTTTTAAAAAAATTCTAAAAACAATTCATGGATTATATATTTTGAAATTATTTATGCGTTTCTTACATGTTTTTTCAATATGTTTTGTATAATATTGAACTTTATACTTGCACTGTAAAATACGGATCAGGTATTAAAAATACTAGATTTTTTATTGGAATTTCAAAAATTCAAAAAACAAATTCTCTTATTTCAAAATTCATAAAAATATGTTTTTTTTAAGAATTTCATTTAATATCGGATTGTAAGCTTATATTATAAAATGCGGATCCGATATTAAAAATACCTAATTTTCTCTAAAATTTCAAAAAATCCAAAAAAATCTCATTTCAAAAACACAAACAAAAAAAGAAAAAACATGTTTTGTTTTCTTGCATATGATCAAATTTTAAAGTTTTTCATGTATATTTTCTTAAAAACAAAATCATATTTTTATCATATTTTAAATATATAAAATGAATGTCATAACTAGTTTATGATTATTCATTAAAATTTGACCAAAATACAAAAAAATCCATAACAATTAATTTATTTAATTAATATTTGGAGTATTAGGATTTGATTTTAGATTTTAATATTTGGAAGTATAAAATTAGACTGTAAAATATACCCTCAAACATTAAAGATACAAAATAAAAAATAAATGTGATGTTAAAATTAAAGCCTTTAAATGATTCAAATTTAACCATATAAAATAGAGACTTTCTCATAAAAAAAAAAAAGATGTGTGTTTAACCTTATATAAGACCAATAAATAAAAACATAACTTAGATTAATAAGTGGTGCACCTAGGGTGATATATATATTTTTTTTTGCACAGCTAATTTCCTAACTGATATTTTTATGATCATGATATAAGTGATAACTTTCTTAATTATAATTTTATGATTAAACTCAAACTATTTCATTTCAATAAGTAGTTTTGTCATTTAACATTATGTATATTTATAATTTATTGATTTCTTAAAATAAATTCCAAATTTATTAACTTGAATGTTTAATAAAATATCTATTTCTCTCACCTAGGTTTTATTGTATTTTAGAAAACACAAAATGTAAACAATTTTTTTTTGCATTGGATAAAGAAAACACTTTTTTTTTCTAGCATTAGCTCTACAGCAATAAATTAAATAAATTACATTTGAATATTCACATGAATCTGTCACGCATAAGAAGTAAAATGGGCATATCTTAATCCGTCGTTCACTTATCACTTTTTATGTATTGAATGTTTAATTGGTTTTATTTAAAATTGTTCCTGCTTTATTATACATGGTATGATTAGAAATCATGTTAAAGACGTTGATGTGATAAATCAATAATTCCATGCGGCTCTGGATGTAGTGGAGTAAATACCTCATTAATTATTTTGTAACCTTGTTAAGATATTTATTAGCGGAGACCAATTAAAAGCCTTTCTTTAAGTAGTAGTAAACCTAGTTAATGACATTCAATATAAACAGCGGTCACCTAAAAAC